TCAAACTTATAAAAATAGCCTCCAAGGCAAGAATGTCCAAAGTTTTTTAATAATGGGTCAGAAATCTATATATAATCAGTATGCAATTTTTAAAATAAAGATGTAATTAAGCCTATCCTATACATAAAATGCAAAATGTTCTACTAATATCAAAACAGCAGCATCAAAATTATTTACTGAATGTTATTCATAGAACAATTCAGACAGCTTTTTATGATTCACCATTTTACTTTACAATGCAAGTAACTTATCAATTTTGATGGCATCATTAATAACAACAGTATTTAATAGAATGAATGACTGATGTATTTTCAGAGACCCTTTCAATTCTTAACATATTATTTCAGCCTCTCTCTGGTCAGTTACATGCAAGAGAGTCTTTTTTCACTAAACAAAAGCATACTTAAACATCTCCTAGAGTTTGACCACAGTGAAAGCACTTTCAGGATAGTTCTGACATTTATGTGCTTTTTTTCCAAAAGTCCAGAGATTCCACACCCTGTTGGTGGGTATAGTTCAGTTTTAATTCAATGAGTCCCTTTTGACACAAAGTCAAATTCATAAGGAAGGCACCTGAAAAGGTTGATATACCCTGTGGACATTCCAAGGGAAGCCATATTAACTTAGAGCATGATCCTTATCAAGAAATAAAAAACAAGAATATCTTCTGAAAGTATGACCCCATTTTTACCAAAGCTTTGAATTTTTCCAAAAATCCATGATTCTATGATGGGAAATAACTTAGCATTTGAGATTAGCACCTCTTACCTGCCAGTTACTCAATCAATCCTATTTAGGTCTGAACACTTGTACTTCTTAAAACAAATGAACAATGCTCCATTTTTTTCTCTTGCAGTTCAATTTCAATGTATAAACACGGTTTATCAAATAACTAAGGATGTATAATATTGTGACCTCTCAGAGTCCTAAGGTTGGGTTTTTCTGTGCCTTTCAATTCTAGTAAGTCCTTGATCTGAAGAAAAACTTTAGTAAACCTACTGAATAAGCTATCTGATTGCATTAAACTGAACTAAAATCTCCAGGGTCCAGCTTCTTCCAAAGAGTACACCATAAGAGATGATTAAGAGCTACAACATGAAGAAAATTCACAATCTTCGTCATCTCGTCCATCAGATCAGGTAATCAATCTGACTTGTAAAATTCAAAACTCAGCACAATAGATCTTGCTAAATGATGCAGTAATAACCGAGCAGAGTAACTTTTACATTCTGCTTTGACTACTTCCAAAGTCATTTTTCCCTCAAAAGTGCAGTCTCAACTGTGACCAACATACACACTTATTTCATGTTTCACCCAAACTCCTTAAATCCCTTTTTGGTATATGTTTAGGATGTATGTTATAGTTATGTCCCTAGCACTAATTAGGTAAAAATGTTTCACTAAAAATATCAGATAGGATTCACACAAAGGTCAAATAGACTCCATTTGGTCTGAAAGTTTTTGTGTGAAAGTTCACAATGCATGTATGGGCTCTAGTCTCACTAGTTTCCATTGTATTCTATTAGGACTAGACATTGGCCTGTCTTTCTCTTAGCTCTCTTATAGCCAAAGGACAAGGATTCCAATAATCGGAAAGAGAAAATGTAAAACTCCAAATCTTTCAACATCAAAAAAAAAAGTTTAATGCTTTAAAACAATTCACAGCAACCTTCATTTCCAGAAGATAAACAAGGGAAATGTTTTATCTTCACATCTCATCTACAACATAAACTCTGATTAATAAGGATTAATTGGAAATAGAATCTTTTGATTAACTAAAGGTTAAACAGATTTGTTTTGTTATTATTTTTTAACCCAAAATCCATTAGTGTATTTCCTTAGCTCATTAATAATTATTCAGATAAAATGTAATTATTCACTGAACATACAATTACAGCAGATGTTATTTCATGGACTAAATCTTTAATATTAAATGATGTTATTATTTATTATTCTTTTGAATCTCAAAACTAGAAAGCAGAAGAAAGTTTGGCTAATAAAGAATGTACTAAAGTTAGTGATTGTTAAACACCACTTCAAGATATAAGCAAAAAACTAAACAACACACCTGATTGAATGATGAATCACTATCAGAGCAATTGTCTGTGCAGTAACTATTGCTTTTCTCCTTTTGCATTTTTTTCTGCCTCTCTTGACTTCGTAGCTCATCTTCTTCAAATTTGTTAATCATGGATTCCACCACTATCATCATGATGTTCTTCAAGGAATGCATCATTTCTTTGTATCTTTAAATTCAAAACAATCTTAGTAAGAGAAAAACTATTAGCACAAGTTAAAATATTCAACTAAACTATCTGATTATTTTTTCTATAAAGCCCCTTTAAGAACACAATTCTAAAGGGAAAAGTCAGTTTTTCTTAAAGAACAAATGGCACAACAGAACTCACACAACAGGGAAAAAGTTAATAGGGAATCCAAAATGTGTTATTTTCTAAGTTTTTTCACCTGATTACATGGAACAAGGTGATAAAATTAACAAAATATAAGGCAAAATGTTCCAATGGCAAGGATTCCAGTAATCAGAAACAAAGTCAACTGTTAATATCATACTACCAAAATCCAGACTATTTTAACATTTTACTCCTTTTTTAAATTTCTATCTCTTTCTCTATCCTCCCTTCCTCTGTTTTCTTTCCTTCCCTTCTCCCCTGCCTATAATGTATTATTTATATGCCTTAAAGGCATTCATCACCACAACTGAGACCTAAATAAGCGTTAAGCTATTGGTGGGTCCTTTCAAACAAAGGCTACAGAACCCACTGTCGGAGATATTAGGAAAAGGATTCCTGAAATTAGTAGAAGTTCGAAGGTAACTTCTAAGATCTCTTTCACCTCTATAGGTCTAAAAATATATTTTTAAAAACATAATAAATTTCTCCATTTATTAAGTGCAAACTCCCAAGCATCCATATTAATATTAGACTGAGATCCTCCAAAACCCTACAAATAGAATTTTAGAGCTAGATGGAAAACATAAAAATAATCTAGTCTACCTTTCATTTTACATATGAGGAATATGTGGCCTGTACTATTGAAATGTCTATATTTAAAACAAGAAGGTATAAAGATTTAAATAAACATACTGAATAAAGTACTAAATTTGGAATCAGAAAACCTGGATTTGAATCCTGACTACTTTACCTACCAACTCTGTCAACATACATAAATCTCATTTTCCTCAACTATATAATGAGATAAAAAGAACACAATCTAGAAGCACCCTTCTATTTACTAGTGGGATGCTGCTCAATTCATGAATCATTGACTAAAGCCACTTAGACTTCAAATTAAAAAAAAAAATCTAGCTGACGTAGTTCACACAGCCACAGCAAGAAATAAATGACAATATATATCTGAAAGTTCTTTGTAAATATAAAGCATAATAGATATAATTATTATCATTATAATAATGGAAATACATTAGAAAATAAGCACAGAAACCTCCCTTTCTTTATATTTCTGGTCAATGGGTCATTTAACTGCATAAATGCATAAATCAAAGAAAGGATGGGTAAGGTACTCTCCTTCATAAAAGCAATAAAATCATGCTGGGGGATCTGGATAGAAATAATAGACTGAGATTTTAAAGTTTAAAGAAATTTTAAAATACATTTTAAATTATATATTATATATTGCTAAATATATGTAATTCCTATATGTAGTTTAAAATATATATTTAATCATATATAATTTATGTAATATATAACTATAAATTTAATATAACACATACATCTATAAATATATATATATTTTTAAAGTCCTAGAAATTATGAGAAAACACAAAGTATTGAAAGAAGTTGAAAATAGATTAGAAACAATATAAAGGGAAAACATGAACAGAAAAGAACTGATATGGAGGTGAGAAAGCGTATAACAATGTGTTGGTAGCAATCAATAGCTATCCACCAGAGCTGCTCTCCCCTTCCACAGTAAGTGGATGATAGCTGAGAAGAGGACTAAAGTACACTTCCCAAATTCCAACCCAGTTAGTATAGCATGTGAACATAAACTCCTGTCCCCTTAAAACTCACAATATATTGATTTCATAAAGGAATATAAAAGTAAATATCAGTGATTTATAGGATAAGAGTAAGAGTAATAGTTAAAGCCATGGAAAATTTGTAAGTTTCATTTTAGACATATTTCCTCCAGAAAACATAATCTTTTGAAACCATCAACATGACTTCTGCAAGAAATATCAGCAAACTGATTGAAGGAAGATAGAAGAATAATTTTTTTAAGTAAAAAAAACTAGAGAGTAAGACCCTCAGTATCATGAGTTAAATAAACTAGAACTTAATAGTAGCAACTGTTGTTTCGAAAAAGCCAAGGACAGAATATGAACACTACTGAGAAGAATCCTTCATACTCCAAGAAGCTAAAATAAGTAAAAGCTCTAAGAGGTAGTGAATAAAAACAACATCAATGAACAATGAAAATACAGATACTATGAGTACCTCCACTTACATATATGAGTAATATATGATAGATCCTACAAATGAAGTCTTCCATATGCAAGCCTCTATTTTAAAAATATCAAAATATTTAATTAGAGAAGCAATTTGTAATTACTACATAAGATGTTTTTAATAGATGTACAGTTGCCACATCAACCCTAAGTAATTTCTGAAGAATCACACACAAAAAAGAAAGAATATAATACTCTGTACAACTTAAAGTCTGTCATTCATGATTCACAAAGCAGAAGACACTGATTAAGACATTTAGAATCTTTTTGAAGTAATTATTATTGTATTAACTTTTACACATGAATGAACTAAAACACAAGATAATTAAATTGCTTACCCAGAGATAAAAAGTAATTTACTAACAGTCCCACATAAAACTTTGCTCTTAGCATTAAAATGCTTTCATTTTCTTAGTTAATAAAGTGTTTTAGTCCTCTTTTTAGAATAAGTTTAACAATACTGCCAGAAATAGAGTACCAGGAATTATAATAATATAGTCCCTCCTTATCTGTGGTTTCACTTTCCCCAGTTTCAGTTACCACAGTCAACTGTGGTCCAAAAATATTAAATGGAAAATTTCAGAAATAAACAATTCATAAATTTTAAATTGTGTGCTGTTTTAAGTAGGTGATGAAATCTCGAGCCATCCAGTTCAGTCCTGCCCAGCAAGTGAATCATCCCTTTTTCCAGTGTATCCTGCCTATTAGTCACTTAATAGCCATCTGGCTCATCAGTATCCCAGTGTTTGTGTTCAAGTCACCCTTACTTTACTTAACAGTGGCCCCAAAGCACAAGAGTAGTGATGTTAGCAATTTGGATATTTTCTTACTATGAGAATTATGTCAAGCATCAGTAACATAAAATTGATTATACTGGCAAGAGACAACATCATTAATGCATCCAACAAACATCTGTTAAGTACCTCGGATGTGCCAGGCACTTCTGAGACATTAAGGAAACAGAAATAGGGAGAAAAAAAAAAGATAACAATATCTACCTTTATAGAGCTTACATTCTAGTGGAGAGATACTGAAAATAAGCAAACACATTTTCCTTTATCAATTAGTGACAAAAAATGGTAAGAAAAAAAATAAAGCAAAGTGAGGGAAAGAGAAAATAATAAGAAAAAGCTACAGTTTTATGTAGAGAGGTCAGAGAAGGACTCTCTGATAAGAAGACACTGAACTCAGTCAGACATAAAAAGAGTAAAGAAGCATCAGAAACAAGGTATATCTCCCCACTGATTTTCAACAACCTTCTGGAAGTTCTGCCTAATGCAATAAGACAAGAAAAGGAAATAAAAGGCAAACAGATTAGGAAGGAAGAATAAACTGCTCACAGATAACAAGATCATCCATGCAGAAAATCTTGAAGAATTAACCAAAAAGCTCCTAGGACAAGTAAGTGATTATAGCAAGGTTGCAAGGTTAATATACAAAAGTCAATCACTCTCTTATATACCAGCAATGAAAAAGTGGAATTTGGAATTAAAAACATAATACCATTTATATTGGCAACAATATAATTAAATATTATATATAATATAACAAAAAAATTAAATACTTAGGTATAAATCTAATAAATACATACAAGATCTATATGAGGAAAACTATAAAATTCTACTGAAAGAAATAAAAGAGGAACTAAATAAATAGAGAGATAGTCCATGTTCATGGATTAGGAAGACTCAATTCTCAACTTGCACTATAGATTCAGTGCAATCCAAATCAAAACCCCAGGATTTTATTTTGTGGATATCAACAAACTGATTCTAAAGTTTATATGAAGAGGAAAAAACCCAGAATAGCCAGAATGGTACTGCAGAAGAACAAAGTTGGAGGACTGACACTACTCAACTTTAAGATTTACTATAAACTACATTAATCAAGCCAGTGTGGTATCAGCCAAAAAATAGACAAATAGATCAGTGGGACAGAACAGAGAGCCCAGAAATACCCTTAACTATAGTCAAGTGATCTCTGACAAAGGAGCAAAGAAAATACAATGAAATAAAGATAGTCTTTTCAACAAATGGTGCTGGAAAACCTGTACATCCACATGCAAAAAAAAAGAATCCAGATATTCACCTTATACCCTTCACAAAAATTAACTCAGACTGGATCACAAACCTTAATACAAAATGCAAAACTATAATGTCCCTAGAAAATAATACAGAAGAAAATCTAGATGACCCTGAGTTTGGTGATGACTTTTCAGATAAGACACCAAAGGCACTTCATTAAAATTAAAAATTTCTCATCTGCAAAAGACACTGTCAAGAGAATAAAAAGAGAAGTCAAACTGGGAAAAAATACTTGCAAAAGACCTATCTGACAAAAAACTGTTATCCAAAACATACAAAAGAAAAAAATCCTCTTAAAACTCAACAATGAGAAGCACCCTGATTTAAAATGAGCCAAAGACCTTGGTAGATAACTCACCAAAGAAGATATAGATGACAAATAAGCATAAGAAAAGATGCTCTACATCATATGTCACAGGGAAATGTAAACTAAAGCAATGATATACCACTACACACCTATTAGAATAGCCAAAGTCTGGAACACTGACAACATCAAATGTTGTCAAGTAAGTAGAGCAACAAGAACTTTCATATATTGTTGATGGAAATGCAAAATGGTATCACCACTTTGGAAGACAATTTGGCAATTTCTTACAAAACTAAACATACTCTTATGATGTGGCCCACGCAATTACACTTCTTGATATTTACCCATAGGAGCTGAAAACATATGTCCACACAAAAACCTGCACATGATGTTTACAGCAGTTTTATTTATAATTGCCAAAAATTGGAAGCAACCAAGATGTCTGACACACCCAAACAATGGAATATTATTCATTGCTAAAAAGAAATGAGCTATCAAGCCATGAAAAGACATGGAGGAAACTTAAATACATCTTATTAAGTAAAAGAACCCAATCTGAAATGCTATATATATGGTTCCAAGTATGTGATTATGGAAAAGGCAAAACTATGGAGACAGTAAAAAAGTCAGTGGTTGCCAGGGGCTGAAAAGGAGAAGTATGAATAGGCAGAGCACAGAGGATTTTTAAGAATGTGAAAAATTCCTGTATGATACTATAATGGTGGATACATGTCATTATAAATTTGTCCAAACCCAGAGAATGCACCATACCAAGAGTAAGCCCTAATGTAAACTACGGACTCTGGGTAACAAAGAAGTGCCATGTAGGTTCCTCAATTGAAACAAGGTACTACTATGATAGGAAATAATGGGGAAGTTGATAATGGGGAAGTCTATGCATGTGTAGGAGCAGGGGTTTATGGGAAATTTCTGTATTTTCTGCTCAATTTTGCTGTGAACCAACAATTTCTCTAAAAAATTAACTATTTAAAAAAGTGAAAAGTGAAGGAGTGAATGACACAAATATTTAGGGAAAGGACGTTCTAGGTAGCAAAAGCAACATGAATACAAATCCCTGAGGGAGAGCTTTGCTTGGCTTGTTTGAAAAAGAACAAGACCAGTGTGGCTGGAACAGTGTAATATGAGGGAATAAGAGAGAATATGATAAGCAATCAGGTAGGAGAGGGAGCAGAGGCTCATGGTGAGCATTGTAGGCTACAGAAGAAACTGGATTTCACTCTGAATGAGATGAGAAGCCTTCAGAGAAAGTTGACTGGAAGAGTGGCACAATCTGACTTATTGCTTTAAAGAATCATTCTGGTTGCTATGAGGGAAATAGACTGTGGAAGACATACGTTAGGGGAGCTTTCAAGGAGCTCTGTTGAGAGAAAAAAAACTTTAAAATATTACTGTGGGAGAAACTCACCAATGTAGAAAACAAACCTTGGTTACCAGAGGGGAAGGAGTGGGATATAGATTTGGAGTTTGGGATTGATGGATAGGCATTACTATAAGTGAAGTGGATAAGCACCAAGGACCTACTGTATAGCACAGGGAACTATATACAATTTCTTATAATAAGCCATAATGGAAAGAAACTGAAAAAATATATATGCGTGTGTGTATACGTATAACCTAATCACTTTGCTATATACCTGAAACTGACATTGTAAATCAACTACACTTCAATAAAAAGTAAGAATTTAAAAAATATAGATATTGCTCTGGGCATACTCACTCTTTAGATTCCTGAGTTCTTTTAGTAACATGCTGTACAACTGTGTCATAGCCAAATTCCTCACCCCAATTCTGATCAGATGTCCATTTTTCCATTTCTTCTTCAATCATAGACCCCAAAGTGTTGCATATATGTTGTCTGAGGTATTTCACAAATTCATAGCTGAAACAATTTGAAAAATAAATGCAGTCAATATCATGAACTTACTTATCAATCATATCCAGAAAAAAAATTACCAAAGAAAGATTTGTAACATATTCCGATTTCTTATCTTAAACTAGGATTAAATTAGTTATTCATCCCAATCAGACAGCTAATCTAGAATTTTATTGTTTTTCTCTGAGACATATGGCAAAAATCACATTTAAAGATGACAGGTGGTGAAGAGAAAATTTCGGGGCCAGTGCAACATTTAGTGGGTTAGGAGTCTTTTCACACTTTGTGCTCATATCTTTTAAGTGTGATGCTTAAGGGAAGAGAAAGCAGTTGTTAAAGAGTTTCATAATTGTTCAAGCTGACAAAGAAAACTACACTAGAATAACAGTAATTATGAAAGAATAAATAGGAAAAGGTTAAGCTCCAATCGTCAGAAGACTTTTGTGTACATTGTGAAATAGTGTACATTTTGAACTGACCTATATTCCACCTAATCAGCTTTTGTCTACGTTCACAGACAGAAGTACCTCAGACATTTCAATACATTGGACATTTTTCTTCATACTGTTAGGTCAATGCTAACATTAAAATTCATTTGCAAACTTAGACAATATAGCAAATATGGGAAAGTAAGTATTCCAAAAGCAGATAATTATTCTATAAAAACATGTTTACTGAAAATAAACAGCAATGATTATAATTAATACCACGATTTAGAAAGGTTAAAGTTTCTGTGGTCTCTTAAATGACACAGATAATTTAGGACAGGCCATTTTTGTAAATGCCACTATGTTCAAGACTTGTATTTTGAATACATGATTGTATAAGAGGCTTGCATATACACAGTCCAAGAGATCCAGGAGAGCCTGAACAATTTTCTTCACATAATTATGAGTCCATCATGGTATCCAGCATATAGCCTTCAGTCCATATTTATTAAATGGCTGATGTCCTCTAAAGAACAGCCACCTTACCCAGGCAGCCAAAGGATTTCATTTTCAATTTTAACTGATTTTGATTGGGATTTCCTGCCCTGCCTTGCTAATCTTTCCATAACCCTGATCTCATCACTGCCTCCTGGAATCCCCATGGCTGCTTCACTAATGTAAGTGGCAGGCCTGCCACAGACAGTGCAGGCCTCAAGAGTCAAGGAGAGATATTTGACATGAAGTCATATAGTATTACAGCAAAAGTACAGGCTGAGTCAAACAGCCTGGACACCAGCTCCAGCTCTACCCCTCTAGCTGGACTGGCTCTGGGAAGTCTGTTTTCTCATTGTAACTTGGCAATGATCATGTCTACTTCATTGCACTACTTTAAATTAAGGAGGCAGTAGACAAAACCTTAAACTTTATAATTACAAACAACAAAATTAAAAAGAATATTCTCCACTCCCATAGCTTCAACTTCAGATTCAATACAAACAGGTGATTTCTTTAGCTCTTTCTTCAGCCAAAAATGTTTCCCCAGAATACAGATCTGTACAGGCATACCTCATTTTACTGCACTTTGCTTTATTATACTTCACAGATATTGGTGTTTTTTTTTAACAAGTTGAAGGGTTGTTGCAACTCTGCATCAGAACAAGCCTATCAGCACAATTTTTCCAACAGCATTTATTTACTTTGTGTCTCTGTGTCACATTTTGGTAATTCTCACAATATTTAAAACTTTTTCATTACTATTATATTTCTTACGATAATCTGTGGTCAGTGATGTTCGATGTTACTGCTAAAACTTGCTGAAGGCTTAGATGATGGTTATCATTTGTAGCAATACTTTTTTGATTAGGGGAGGTACACTTTTTTTTTATATAATGCTATTGCACACTCAATAGACTACAGTATAGGGTAAACATGGCTTTTAGATGTGCTGGGAAACCAAAAAAAAAAAAAATCATGTGACTCACTTTATTGCGGTATTTCCCTTATTGTATTGGTTTGGAACCAAACCGAAAATATCCCCAAGGTATGCCTGTATATTAACTGCGTACTGGACAAGGCTACTTAATGTTTTTTCACCAATCAGCATAACCGAAACCAAATCTATCATCTTACCCACCCACTCACAAACCACCTTCTCTTCTGACATACATCTTTGTTAATGTTACCATCCTTCAATCAGATACCTGTGTATAGCTTCAATCTTCTCCTTTACATCTCAGATCTAATAAGTTAGCAAGCGCTATAATTTTGTAAATTCTTCTAGAACTCTTTCCTTTCCCACTGCCAAGAGATTTAGATGTTCACATCTTCATAATCTTTAGTTAAATTACTGCATAGAGCCCTCTTAGGTCATCCTATAAATCAGCAGTTCTCAAACTATAACATGGATCAGAATTACTTGAAGGGCTTATTAAAACATAGATCACTGGGCCCCACTCTCAGAGCTTCGACTCAGGCTTACCACGGGCCCAAGAATTTGCATTTCTAAAAAGTCCCCAGGTAATGCTGAGGACGAGGCCGATGCCAATGCCAATGATGCTGCTCCCAGACCATAATTTGAGAACCACTGATCCGGACAGATTCTGTATCCAGATAGCTTTTAAATTAGCCTAAGTTTCTTGGCACTCTGATCAGCAGATTCCTACTCAAAGAAGCAGAATTAAGCCAAACTATTAATGAATAAACATACATTTAGTTGCTTTATATTCAAAATATATAGGTATCATTTTATGATCCTCTGTATTAAATGATTTTTTCAATTAACAGACTAAGTGTAAATCCCAATAACTTGGAATAAGCAGGTCCTGACATTGTTTTAGGACTTTGTAGAATTAGTTTTTAATATTAGCTCCCAGACTTATCAGCTTTGTGAGGCTGCCCAAATTACATATTCTTTCTAGGCTTCAAGTTTTTTGCATCTGTGAAATGGGGAAAGCATCCATCTTGGAAATCATCATAAAGCTTCTAGACAATAACACAAGGCCTGACATAAACTTAACAATCAATAAGAAGTAGAAATTATTACTATCATAATTACTAAATTTAAGACACATCTTGCTATTGACATTTAGAGCCCTCTTAGATCCAAATTTATCCTTCTAGATTTATGCCTCTTTACTACCCCCCACACATGCCCACAGGCCTCAAATTCTAGCTGCCACTTTCAGAAAACAGAGAAAGCTTGTCTCTTTTGAGGAAGTGTATAGTTTAAGGTAAAAAAAAATAGAATAGAATAGGGAATGGAAAGCAGAGAAAGTTTAGGGCACCTGCACTATGGGGCAAATCCCCAGATAGGGCTGTTGCCTACACTACAGTTTCTCCCCCAAATGACTGCATTCCCTGCAAATTTATTATACTACCTGAAATTCCATCATTTATGGACTCAACTGTCTTAACAATCATTTTCTTATAAAAATGCTAATAGCCTAGAAACACCAGATTCCCCTATAAGTCTATTTAATAAGGTTCTTTTTCTTGCCAACACACTAAAACAACATCAGGTGGATTTAAGGAACCAATGTTTTGATGGTGGAGATGGGACGACAGATAATTCTGAGGCATGAAAACACTTTGGGAAGCAATATATACCTAAGTGACTCAAGAAAATGTACTGTTTGAACACAGAAGAGTCAGGTCAGTGAATAGAAAGACAAATGAAAATATGAGTACTTGGACTAATTAACAGGACCTCATCAAACTCTGAGATTCTAAGATACTATAAAAACACCAAACATAAGCATCTCCTCCTTTTCCCTGCTACAGAAGGAGTTCCTTCCTCCTAAGACACAGATCTCAGACTAGTGCAGCTAACACATGAATTTTATTGTCTATACTTAAGACTACAAACTACTCAAATTACTTTTAGGATTATAAATCTTACTTTCAAGACTATAGACTTGTTATAATTTGAATGTGTCTGGATTATTCTAGGTAGGCCACAAGTAAATCTCTTTATTAAACAGTAAACATTAACTATGCAAGCTAACCAGCAGGCATTTAATCTAGCTAATGAACTGTTGAAGAAGAGTAAACTACTTTATTACAACAGTCATGACACTGCTGAGAGGAACCAAAATGATCCAACTTTAACCTGAAAAACATTTAAAAATTGACACAGCTAAAGCAATACTTTCAGGCAAATGTGTAGCCTTAAATGTTTACACTTTAAAAAGGATAAAAGCTGCAAATTAATGAGCTAACATTCAACATAAAAGTTTAAAAAGATTCCCAAAAAGGAAAAAAAAAGAAATTTTATAAAACACAAAATAAATGCATAATATAAAGGAAAATCAAAGCTAATAGCTAGTTATTTGAAAAGACTAATAAAATTGATAAACCTATAACAGTAACAGATCAAGAACAAAAGAGGGAAGGCACAAATAAAAAATAAGAATAAAAAGAATAATAAAACTATAGACACTAGAAATATTAAAAAGGAAATAGAATACTAACAAAAAACTTTATATAAATAAATTTGAAAAATCTAGATTAAATGGACAAATTCCCAGAATATAATCCTAGAAAACAGTCAGTAATTTACAAATATTTTAAACAAGTATTGGCATGTGAAATAAAAATCAGAAATAAAGTCTCAAACTTAATGCTTGATGTGGATGTGTGAAGTAAACTGGTATTACATAGTATACAAAACATTAATGACCAAATCTGAATTTGCAGTTTTTCTATATTCTTCTGTTTAAGAATTCAATAGCTAAACAATAAAAGCTGGTCTCTGGTATCTCCAAATAAAGAATATTATAATACAATACCAGCTATTAGTAGCGGATTTAATGAAGAAATAAACAAGATACTCATGGAAATACAAAAGAAACCATACGGATAACCAGAAATACTAATTAAACTACAAATTCTGTATCAACAAGAATTATACACTTCTTAAAACTCCCCCTGAGAATCTGGGGAAAACTGTAAATGCTTCTTCCATAAAACTGCAAGTAAACACAAACTTCCACAAAGAATATTAAAGGGCTCAAGGATCCCTATGCCCATGTATGAAACAGGTAAAAGTTCCAGATAAGAACATCAGGGCACCCAGTGAGAGTTGATTAGACAGGCTTACCAACCTAGGGTGGTTATCAACACAGGGAAAAAAATGCCAAGCTGTTGAATCACAGAACATTTTCTCTTATCCCATAGCTGGCTCCTGGGTTCCAAGAACTTAGCCATTCAACAGGACATTTTATGTTCCACAAGTCCTGTGTCAATCCCATGGACACACCCCAGTATCTCTTTCTTTCTTCTTTTTCCCCGCTGAAGTTTCTATTTTAGTGCTGAGTTCCACAGGTGGAAAGAGCTCATAATAAAAGATGACTGGCACCACTGGAATGAAGGTAACATGGCAGAGATATCCAATAAAAGACCCCACGGCCCAATCTAGGGCTGGAGCTGTCTTGTCTGATTACCTGGCTAATGGCTCCCTGATCAAGTATTTTCTTTTTTTACTTTTTTTCTCCTCTCTGTGAGCAATAAAGCCGTTCCCCCCACCCTAATTTGTCCTTCTGCCATTGCTAAGAATTCTTTCTCAACCAGCGGGCAAGGACTCACACGTTTCGCAGGCCTCCCAATTTGGGAGTCTCCCTATCCGCTATACCCAAGAGTCAGTAAAGGTAACATAACAAGAAAAACGCTTAATGTCATTTTCTGTGAGATCAAAATGAAAGGCAAATACTGAATTAAAAACATCACTACTACTAATAAACTGAGGAAGCTGGAGGTAAACTTTTCAGTGGAGAGGCTTAATTTAAATTACATAACTTGAATCAAATCAAAAGAAAAACACGTCTCTAAAGAAACATATCCTTTAGATTTACCTCAAATGGTGCCTCTCTCATTAAACTTCCTATCTCCACTGCTCCCAAACCCAGAGCACTCATATTCCCAACGTGCATCGCAGACATCTCAGTATGTACATTATTCCTTTGTAGGAACTTAAACTATTCTATAAGAAGTTAATAATCTCACTTGAGTATTCCTGCAGTGCTCAGAATGCAGAATTGGTGCATCCACTGAAATATCAGATCAGTAAAGGAAAAGGGATCTTGGGAACTGAATGCTTTTAGGTATAGTGACAGAAATCCCTCGAGATAATAAAATCATTCTTACATGAACAATAATAATTTACAGTTAATGTTCCAACGCTGCCCAGGAGAAAAAATAATTAGGATATGTTAGCGGTGTCAGTAGAAGCACAGAGAAGGCAAAGCTTTGGAAAACAGGAATAAAAAATAAATTCGGCATTTAGGTAAATAAACGAAAACATGAACCTCTTACGTGGGCACTATTTTAACAATAATCAAATAAACATTCTTTAACTACACTTGAACCTCTTCTGAATTAGCTAGTTTGCTTAAGACATCAAAAACAACTTTACTTGTGAAAGTTCTCATCAGTTTCCTCCAGATGTAAGAGGATCTCCTCGGCGCACTCCAAGGAGGGCGCACCCGTAATTTTCTCCTTCACGCTCTGGAACAGCTGCCTCAGCATCGCCTGCAGCGTCGCTTCGTCGTCGGCGGAGAAATGGGCCATCCCCTGTCAGAATCAACGCCCAAGCCCATTACTCAGGGTCCTGCGAACGTCGCGCCCTGCGCACGCGCGTCCCCACCCAGCCCCCGCCGGCGCACAGCGCGTTCCCCTGGAGACCGCGGCAAACGCTTGCGGGTAGGCCGTCGGCTGCCCGCGTCGCTCAGGAAAGCAAGTTACCTTGCACTGGGGAGGCAAGGATCCGCGGGATCCCGCCTTTAGAACTCGTCGTTGCCGGCCTTCTGTACCTCCAGAATTCAAGGAGCCCCAGCTAACGGCAAAAAAAAAAAAAAAAAAAAAAAAATCCCAGAGGCTCTATGGGTGGACCTGACGGCAGGACGTCAGCGCTACGCGTGACGTCAGCACGCTGCCGTGTCTTCCCAGGTGGGAGGGAGTGCCGCCTGCAGACCACTGGGCTCCTAAAGAAGCGTCAGGTGCGCTCGCTGAAAGCGTTATATGTAGGAGGAAAAAGAGTACGAAGGGAAAGATGTCAATAAAAGAAGGATAATAGAAGTGAAACTGAAAGCAGCTTGAAACGTTTTAATTGAGTGAATGGTATTGAAGTGTTGCGGTGCTCTTTCCTTCTAACAGCTAACGTCTGTTGACTGCTAACCCTTATGAAGCACCGTACTAGGAACTATGAAGAAGAGGATGCATTCAAAATCTAACAGACAAAAGTGAAGGATTGCAACCCATGCAGTTAAGTGTAATGCTAGAGAAATGCTCCAGGTAGGTGCTGTGGAAACCCCGAATCACCTTTTAACACAATAAAAGAGCCAAGGAAAGAAGTGAAGAGTAAACAAATGACTTGCAAAGGGTAAGGATCTGAGAGAGTGTAGCATATTCCAGTCCTTGAGTTTGTAGGATTAGAAAGAGGTGAGGAGTCTAGAGAAGTAAGTGGGCCACATCGGAAAAAGGTCCTATTTGACACTCTTAAGGGATTAGAGATTTATCTTGTAAGTAGTAGGACACAATAGAATCCCAGAGCGACACCATGATATATCTTCTATAAATATCACTCTACAGGAGGTTACAGTGGATAATCATAGTCCCTCATCCAGTTTCCAATCTAGATAAATCCCCAGACTATGATCATGTGAGCTACAAGGAACCAACCTAGCAGAGTATTAGGATCAGATCCTAGTGCCTGCAGAATAGTCAGTCTCAAGCCACTGATCAGTGGTTCAGTGTCAGTAAATTCACCCTTATCCAGCTTTATGTTTTACACCCCTGGTCCAACAACATCTGACAAATTTTACATGTTAGCCGGGATAAATGACTACTTTGATGTCTAAGCTATTACTTCCAGGAGCAAAATTACGCTATATCTTTGCCAGCTCTAGCCACACATTTCTTGGTGAAATATATGCTTATTTTTGATTGTCCCACTAGAACCAACTCTGCCAGTATCTTTTTCCTTAATGTGAGCGAAGGTATAAAACCCAATATGTATATGTTAGAATCACTAGAATGTGAAAACTACATTTTCAGACCAACACAGTTTAATTGTATTGGCAACTCAGACACCAGGATTAATATACAACTAGTGATACGATTTTTTGAAGTGGTAAACTATTATTGGTAAACTTCAGAACAAAATAAAATATACTCTTTATTTGATTTACATAGTTTTTACATTCCTGGAAAAATCAGTGCACTAAAACTGTGCCAAATATTATTTTTTATATAAATGGAATTAGTTCCTAGACTCAGATACTTATCATGAGCTTTTTCATCTTCATGAATGTCCAGCAGGACCATTGAAAGTCACATAGGAATCAGAATAATTCTTTCATGTGGGAGAATATCTTGTTTTTTTCAAGAATTCCTTAGGTCACACTACAAATACCAATAAATACCATCAAATCATTACGATGACAAAATATCCCACATATTTCTAAAATGCTTTTTGAGGGGGGCACTGGAGGAGATTTGAACTGCACAAATTGAAAACACTGATCTAAAGGATACACCTTGGAAAAAAAACATAAAAGAATACCTGATATTTAAGAAGAAAAGTTAGCCAAAAAGGAGATGAGAGGGGTAATGTGTTTAAGTAAATCTCAATAAATATTGTCTGTATAAAAGAGTAATCTATAATATTTTAATTTGTGCAGGTAAAAATGCATAGTTTTGAAATACTGTAAACAACCCTGTGTAAGTAAAAAGTGTAATGATAAGTTGAAGTATTCTGTGATCCTTGAATTTTTCTAAAGGGAGTTTAAGATATTAAGCTTGGTTGGGTAGGCATAGTGAAATTTCAAATGTAACCATTAATAGATCAGAAATACAGAACTTAAAACAAAAAATGGACATAAAATGATACAAAGCCCTAATCAATTTGAAAAAAAGTCAAGAGATCAGAAGCAAATAAAAATAGGAAAAACTTAAAATATACAAAGATACATGATAGAAAAAGTCCAAAACACTGATAAATTTAAATGAACTCACCCCTCTAGTTAAAAGAACTATCAGATTAGATTTTAAAATAACCAACTATATGCTAATTATCAAAACCCTAAAAACATACAAAAGTTAACAATAAAAAGGTAGGGAAAGACAAACCAGGTAAATATTATCCAAAAGAAAATTTATGTCAGCAAAAATAAAATTTAAGAAAAAAATGTTAGAGAAATAGCATGTCACTTCATAATTTTAAAAGATTGTTTAATTCGATAGGAAGATATAACAATTTTGAACTTAAACTAAGCCAAGTTTCTGATCTCTTCAAAAGTCTTTAATATTTCCCAGAGAAGGTTTCTGCACATGTTCTTATAAAATGTCCCTGAATGAGATGCACTTCAAAGTTGAGTAACTAAGATCTATGTTTTTTTACATTTGCTTTTTCAGATTGCAGGAAACAGGTAGGGAAAATACAGTTGCCTCAGCAATTACATAATTAGCATTTATGAAAACCTGAAATATCATTTATCATTGTTAAAGATACAAAAGCCTCTCAACATATCCAAAAGCTGTTGCGGCAACCTAATTACCTTGCTGTTCAGACTATAACAACTCTTGTTATTTTCATGACTCAGTTTGTCTCTGTCTTTATTATTTCTGTTTCTATTGCTTCTGATCATCTTTTCTCAATGCCTCTTCCATTCAAAACTCCCTAAGACTCTGCAGAGGATGCCACAGCACAGCCCAGATTTCCCTTCAGGACCACTCACTCACTTCCCGAGCTCCTTATTGTAAGCTGCTGACGTTTTACAGCTGAACCCTCTTCAGGAATTGCCCAGGAAGGAGGAAGTGGCCATGCCCGAGGTTATGTGCCCCACCTGAGGGAGGCCTCTTTCTAACGACTGGTCAATGTGGTATCAAATGAGCCATCCCTCTTATCTCAGTTGGTACAAATCTGAAGCACCATTCCAGCTTCAGAACTCCTCATATGGATTTGCTAGTCTCTGTTGCAAGGGCATTATAGTTAAACTTCCCTTTATTCCTGACTTTGCTTCACAGCCTCCTACCTGATACTGTTCCCAAGAATACACACTAATAAACCTACTGCATACAAATCTCAGATTCTCAGAGTTTGTTTCCATGGAAATGCTTTCTGCTACAGAATCTGATTTGATCAGTTACATATTATCACATTATCCAATACATGTTGTTCCTAATAGGAGGAGTCTCTGATAATGGCATGAACTGCTGATCTTTCTTATTTTATTTGTTCTGTACATGGTGGACTTTTACCAAGGCACTGATTTTTCTTCCTAACATATATGGACACAGTAGTAGGAGCAATTATTTAAAACATGGTTTTATGTGTTTAATTAAAAACAAAATCAAAACTAGACTGTGGGCATGGAAGGTGCTTGGAGCTCATGGATTTGCAGTGAGTTATAAAACATGTAAAAGACTAACAAGGGCCTTGAATTTGGGGAAAGTATTTTAATAACCATTGGATACTATCATCCTTGTTACCCATTTCTACAAGTGTTAAGTGAATATTTTCATAGAACTTATATAATCTTATTAATAGGAGAGTAAAGCAATTTAAATTTTCAAAGTTTTGAAATTGGTTATTTTTTCCCCCTAGACAATAAATTAAAGTGAAATTAGGATATAGCCCTCCCACATCCCTAATTAAAGCTTTTGTTATCTTTGGATCCTCCATTTCAGAATGGACTTGCTTTCTCCCAGAAGAATATTGTCATTTGCTTTTAAAACCAAAGTCTTACTGATGAACAGTTCCTCCAAAAGTCTGACATAGAGTTTAGCCATTTACTCAGAATATAGATGCTTGGCATTGAGGGTTTGCTCCAATATCTGGAAAAAGATTTTCAATTAGTATAGGTATCGATTTTTCTCATCTGCAGAGTTCACTTCCTGATCCCACCTAAGTTGGCCTAAAGAATTTTTTAAATTATTAGCTAAATATCATCTTGAATGATTTCCTCCAGTTCTAAGAATCTGTGTTTGGAATCTGTTCAGTTCATCAATCATTTGTCCATTCCTTTTATCTTGGCATATAATACTTGCATTATCTAAGTGATGCTATAATAGTGTAATTTAAATTCTTCAGCTGCCTGTATTTATCCCATTATTACTTTTGAAATCTGTTTCCCAGGCTAGTTCTTTCATATATAGATTTAAAAATGGCCTTTGGGTCCTGTAATATTTAATATTTTAGTACCAGTTTCAAGTTTACTTACATATGGCTCTCAACAATAAAATTAAGCATATCCTTTCTTTTCCCAGGTACTTTTCCTGTTTATAGTGACCATGAACATTAGGATAACACAGTTTAAAGCGAGCAAGGCACTAAAATAACATTTGAATTAGAAGAAGCATCAATTCAATAGAATTTGGCAACTTGATGTTTTCTGTAAAAAACTTAAATTTGTTTCCTAATACAGATATAAAAAAATTACTAACATAACTCCATAATACAACATTCTAGTGAATTACAAAATTATAGGAAAATGTCACCAATACTGTAAGCTACCAACAATAGGCACTGAGTAATTTTTAAAACCTTTTTAAAAAATCATTTTGAGAAACTTACTTTGCTGTTAGCAAGGTTGCCTATCAGTATACACTTGTTATAACTAGAAACACCCTATAAGAAATATAGTAGTGGATTTTTATGATTTTAAGGTTATTTGACCTGTTAAATATGGCAACTTGAGCATATGCATTTATTCCTGCTCTATCCAGAAACCTCCCTAAAATGATGATAAAGAAATACAAAAGACATAAAGCCACCCTAAGGACAAAGAGAATTTGAGAAGAGATGACAGAGTTTGGTTTGTGCTGTGTGGAGACTACTGATGAGGGTTTACCTTTTTCTTTTTTTAATATTTATGTTATTGAAGTGTAGTCAGTTTACAATGTTAGTTTCATG